TAGCCGGTGGCACCGCCAACAGGCTGCCAGGCCAGCAGCATGCTCTGCGCCGAGATGTTGTGGATGGCCAAGTGCTGCACGCCCACCAGGCGCCCTGCAGGTGAGAGGTGCCCATCGCATCCCCTATGCGAGAGCGGGGCAGGGGGCAGCGGGAAGCACCTTCACCTGCAAACCTGCCTGCTCTGTGGGGGGGAAGCCCCCCTTGCCCCTGCTCATGGATGCTGAACTGCACTGAGGTCACCAAATGCAGCCCACGCCTGGGCAGCTCCTTCAAAGCACCCCAGCAAACTGGAGCTCAAACGCCTTCCTCTTAATGCCTTAAATACTTACTGCGGGTTAAGGCTGCCTGGGGCAGCTGAACGAATTGGTTTGCCAAAATTTGAGGTTTGTAAAGGTGTTGCCCCGGGGCCTCACCCCCGCTCCTGCCTGGCAATGCTTTCCACCACCCTCACGGAAACCATGTTTTCTTCTCAAAGAGCATGGTGCTTGAATTTATAAAAGAAACCCTGCATTTTTTCGGTTGACATTTTTATGTCACGTGGGGAAAGCTCCAGCGGAAACACTCCCATAAGGCTACGAAGGAGTTGGGAGAGCACACAGTGCTGCATCCCCTCAGGGAGCACTTTGTGGGGCTCAGAGCATCACTTTGTAGTCGTGCTCACCCGCATCCCCATTCTGGGCCCCCCAGGCAGCAATGGGCCAGGCAGCCCCATCCCCATGGGGCATGGTGACTGGAGGGACATCCCTGTGCTGGGAACTCATCCCTGTCCCCGGCTGAGCCCAGGTCCAGGCATGGGGCTTACGTGTCCGGGCGGTGAGGGTGGCGGGGACAGCGGGCTGCTGCACGTAGCGGGGTCGGAGCATCACCACGTACTCAGTATCAGGGCGCAGGTTGCTCAGTGTGGCTGACTGCGCGCTGGCCCCCAGGCTCTTCTCCTCCCCCTGGGCTGCTCCTGGTGGGGAGGTGGAGGAGTAAGGGTGGGCGTGGGGGCACGGCACGCGCCAGGCCCGGGAGGGAAGGGGCGTCCGCAGG